TGAGAGACTGGCGGAGGAGCATAGGGACATTGACATTCCATTTGGGGTCTGTAATCATATTAAGCACCCCTATTTTAGCAAAAAGTCTGCAGGAAAAGAACGAGCCCCCAGTTACACAGATAATGTACAGGCTGGATGAAAGTTATGGTGCAATGTAACACTCTTGGTAGTTTAGTGTATTTTTACAATGGTCTGTACATTTGAATCTGCATAGAGTTTGCTGTCTTTGTTCATGTGGATTTCCTCTGGGTACTTCAGTTTCCTTCCACACTCCGAAGACTTGCTGATAGGTTAATTGGCTCCTGTTGAAGTTGGCCCTGGTATGTTTGTACAAAGTGGCTATGTAAATTCTGCATGCCAGTACCAAGTCAAGCAGTAGGGGAGATATGTGGAAAGACCTGGTGATCTATCGTAGAGAAAAAAAGCTTCCAAGTGTTTCAGTCATGGTATCAGAGAGCTGGCCCATGGAATCGCTGTTAGTCTAATGCAACTGAAGGGATATATTCATGAATACATACATCTGGCTAAAAATGGGTCAGCTAAAAAGGAATAGGGTTGGTTGCAAGTGAAGCCCTTCTACATGAGTAACAGTTGGGAGCTACATATTCTGTACAACCAACTGTCATAGTTTGAAAACATTTATGATGGACTTATCTTTCTACAGTATTTCACATAAAACACTTTATAGTATATATACATTATATACACTTTTTTGTTTGTTTGTCTGTTTGTTTGTTTGGAACCATGGGGGCTTTTAGGGAGGGGGTGTTAAAACCAGTGTCATTTTTTTTTTGCTATGATTAATTGAGGATGTTTCTGTTCACTTCCTGTCCTGGAGATACAACTGGTAGTTTGCAGAAATCTATCCAATGTTCCATCTTACCTGACATTTACACCTGAATGTTTTGTTGCATAATTCATGAAGGGTGGCAATGCTCAAGAATCCCAATATTCTGAATAGGCCCATTCTCATTGTGTCTCTTGTCACCTGTTGTGTGAAGCTTGAAATGTACATGAGCTTTCATCAGAATATATGTCCTCATTGAAAGATGCACCTTGCCTCTACAACTGAAAAAAATTGGACTTCCCATTACCTTCTGCCTAGGTGAACATTCAGGAACGTTCTTCAGGAAAAATATGGAGGATGAAATTCCCCAGTGGCGACACATAAATACAAAATTGACATGGGGTCTAAACCCTATTCAAAATTAAAAGACCAATTTGTGGATATACATACATCAGGGATATGTTTTATTGGCTAAATACTACCTTCCAACCCATAAGGGAAGAACTGATGAATTAACCTATGATCATATCACAGTGGGAGATTGAAAGAAAGGCGAGTATGTGTATCTATGGAGTTCTGCATTACACAAATATGTTACTATGTCCTGTATAGGCCAAGGACAGATCCAGTATATGTTGCCAGTGCCACAAAAACAGAAATCTCCTTCATCCATCAAAAGCTAGTCCATAAATAATGCAGGACTAGTCAACCCCAAGAGGTAACTTTGAGAGTCAAATAGAATCTCCAGAAACAGATCTCCAGCCTATAACTACCTTTCACAAGCCCTAAAGATCAATTGCATCAGGGCTTACTGAACCTGACATGGGCACCAATATGGAACAGCTATCAAACAAAATGGAGTCAGTCATTACAAAACATTGTACTTGATTCTGAATCCCCATTGGGAGCTTCTGCCTCAGTCGATTGCAGAAAGAAGGTTTTATTCCGGCACAGCTTCTAAGGCTTCTTTTGCAAGAATCCTCTCCTCTCACAATTCTAATTTTCCTTCCCAAAGAGATAAAAAGCCAGGAGAGAAATCATACCGGCTACTTGAATCTCTCTGAGTTGACAGCCGAATGTCAAATCACCGAAAAGGCAACTGGTTCTTGACTCGGTATCATTTATAATTCCCTTCGAGGAGTTCAGTGACAAGAAATGGAGAAGACATACAAATTTGTCAAGGTTCAGGCAAAGAATCCAAATTCCTTTTAGATTCTGGAGGGAAAAAAATCATAACTCCACAATGATAGTTAAAGGCCTAGTAAACATACATTACATGAGAGCATTTTTAAAGTTATCTGCTAAGGATAAAAATGTGGAATCTGCCATTGCTGACTTAAAGGACACAGGAATCAGGACTGTCATCTTGACCCTGATTTCTCTACCTAGTCAGTCATTGAATGTCAGACTTTTTTCAGATTTCACTGGCTACATGAATGTTCCAGGATAGTGACTTACTAATCAGTCATTCCAGGTGGAAGATGACAGTACCAGAGCCAGTTCCTTTAAATAGAATTTAGCAAAGAGTCCCTTCTTTTGAACCTCATATGTTCACATTAATAACATTCACAGATAAATATGTGAAAGCTCCAGGTACTGGTTAAGGTTTCTACTAAATGAATATGGGGTGAATTGGGGATTTATAAGCTGTACTTTCCACCCGTGAGACATAGGCTAGGTATACATGTGTGGTTGAGGGAGGAAAAAACTCCCATGTTTGTAATGCCCCAACCACTTCCACCTAAGCTTCAAAAGCAGCCAATGGGGGTGTGCACATGCCGCAGCCACAATGCAAAAATGATCTTCCATGTTCAATGGTTGGTACTCAACTGAATGGGGCAGAGCTGGAACTGCCCCACGACAGCCCTACAACCAGGTGCATTGCTCTGTGGAAAAGGTTTATAGGGGTTAAAACAGACAGTGAGGATTCAAAACAACACTTCCTCACTGCCTGTCATTATCCTCTAAAAATAAATCTACTGCGAATCACCTTTCAGAGGGCACCTAGTTTGGCTAGTGCTCTTTAGTCTTAAACTGTATATAAACCCTAACAATTTACTTTCTGTATGTTGTAAGCTCCCCTTTTGATCTATTAGAGGTACTGTTGATATTCAGTGAGCTGAGTTGCTGTGTTATCACAGACAGTTCTCCATGGACTACAGAAAACCTCCACTCTCTGTCGTGTAGATGATGAGAGGGGAATGTGTCCTGTAGTCCAAATCAAGAGAGCAGCCTAGGGTGACAATTCTTACTCCTCCATAGATATAGTTCAGTGAATGCCATCACCCTGGGGTAGGAGATGTGCTACTGGCAGGATAACCAGGTGAAAATAAAAGGGAATAAAGTCTGAAAAAAGAAAAGTAATATTAACACTTTTCAAAATATATATATAGTGATCCTGCCACGAATGTCCTTGTTCAGGCATTTCCTGTTATAGGGTGACAACATTCTGTGTCTGCCTTCCAACGGTGATTCTGCTTTGTCACCCCATCATATAGATTTCCTAAGGAGACTACAAGTAGCCATTTCAACATAGGCATGGGCCACTATGGTCACCATCAGGAAACCCACCCTGAGAAATGCCATGCAGCCATCCTCGGAGCCCACATAGACCGGAAGCGACTGAACAGGTGCTGCAAGGGAGTTAGATGCAACAAATGATGAAACAAGGTTGAAAACAAACCTTTTATTAAAACAAAAAATAACAACTATTGATAATGCACAGTGGGTTAAGTAAACCTCTAGTTTCTGTAGAGAAGAAGCTGCCATGGCTGTATTCATAAAGAAAAGCAGGAGCAGCATTTTAAAAGGAGGACCACTGGTATGTTCTATTTATAGGATCTAGGACTGCATAGGGGGAATTTCCCTTACAAAAGGTGATCGTATGCCTTAAAGTGAATTCACAAGAATTGCAGTGGGATCAGTGCTGGTAGGCTCCTAATGAACAGTCTATGACAGTGCTGACAAACAGACAGGTCATATGTCCTCCGTGAATGAAGCCTTAAAGGATATATCCAACTTTTCCTCTTCTGCTGCAGTGACATTACTGCCTTGGCAGAAGAACATTTGTTGAATCCCTTTACAATGTGCGCCAGGGATAGCTGGTGTGACATATAACAGAAATGTCATGTGACACACCAATTAAACACAAGACCTACCGCCAGCCGTACAATTCCTTGACCAACACAACAATGTAACCCGTGTTCTCGTAATAGAAGGTCAGCTTCTGCTTAGTGACTGTGACATGTAAGGTTTTTATAAGACATCTCAAAGCCACTTGGATTCCAGATGTAATTGGATGACAGCCTGGCGTGAGCCTAATCTCACGGTTTATGTGGATCTTCAGATATGATTACCTCCACCTAGACACTGCAGAGAATTCCAATTTTACAAATTCCCTGCATTCAGACAATTTAAAACATCCCTTCTGCTTGTCTGAGAAAATAATGAGGATTAAGAATACGCCGAGCGTTGAAACAGACCGACCACGGCACCTTTTATTTTCATGCTAACCGCAGGTTTACCTGGCTCTCAGCTACAGGCATTGGAAATTGTTAGTGGATGTAAGAGATGGAGATGCAACAAAGCAAACACTGATTGAACTACTATGAAGAAGCTTCGGGAAAGAGAAAGAAATGTTAAATCGGATGCTGTATTCAATGTAAATAATGGCTTCAAGAATGTCAGGTTTTATGATCTGTTATGTTTCAAAGGGCCTTTGATTTTATTTTTATTTTCTGTACCACAGCTCATCCAAGCTCTGAGACTGCAAAATCTAACATTGAAAGATCCGGAGGTAAGCGTTAGAGTACATAACATTTCATAACACAGAATTTCTTTTTCTTCCACAAGCCTATACGTAGTTCCACTGTCGATATAAATGTTAGAGCTCGCTGGAGGGAGAACCAACAAGCGACTGGGGCTTTTCTTCCCTGGAATTGGATCTAGGGAGAGCTTAGGAGTGACTAGGCAAACCATGATCTGGAAGAGAGGGTCAGATCTTGGCATAATCTACAGTTAGACTTCATTTTAAATGAGATAAATTATTAAATGCACAGGCATACATAATAGTACAAAGAAAATTATTATGCTATGGCTTGCTCTTTTACAGCTGAAATAAAGTCGATACATAAAACATTGCTAGCAGATTGCAATTTATGGTAGAAGAGACTATGGGGTTGATTTACTAAAACTGGAAAGTACAAAATCTGGTGCAGATGTGCATGGTAGTCAATCAACTTCTAACTTCAGCCAGGGGTGTCAAACTGGCAGAACTCCAGCTGTTGTGAAACTACAAGTCCCATCATGCCTCTGCCTTTGGGAGTCATGCTTGTAACTGTCAGTCTTGCAATGCCTCATGGGACTTGTAGTTTGGCAACAGTTGGCGGGCCGCCAGTTTGACACCCGTGAATTAAGCTTTGACAAAAAAGGAAATTGGGAGCTTATTGTTTTCAGTGCAGAGCTGTATCAGATTTGGCACTTTCCAGTTTTAGTAAATCAACCCCTATGCATCTCTCATCTGCCAAATAATATGTTCATTGGTTGTCAGGATGCTGGCGGGCCAGGCTGCACAGTGTGTTTGGTTGCTAGGACACTGGAAGCTGGATTGTAGAATATCTTTGGTTTGTATAGCACAGGTGGCCGCTTGCATCATAATGAGCAATGTTGCTTTGTGGCTTGGGGGCTTGACATACACAGGGCTAAACGTGTACTGAGAATGGAGTGCCTGGTATGGACACTTCGGCCTTAGTGCCACTTCCACCATGCCTCCATGAGTGCAAACATAGGTGGTCCCCTCAGTTGGCCTCTTGAGCAGCATTTTCTGGGATTGTGGATTTTGGGTTTTCATGAGCTGTAAGCCATAATCATCACAAGTATGACAAATCATGGCTTGAACTATCTTGCTTTGCATGTAATGAGTCTATCTCATATATTAGTTTCACCTTTTAAGTAGCATTACTAAAATAAATGAACTTTTGCACAATATTTTAATTTTTCAAGTTTCACCTGTATGTACATAAGCAAGATTTAAAACATTCCAAGACCAACCAATAAAAAAAGAAGTCTTCAGAACTGGAAGAAGACTAGGTAAAGATGGCATACTGGAAGTGGAAAAATGATTCTGTAAGCTGAAAAATTGGACCAGGAAATGAGGATAGCCCTAGTGTAACTGTGCAGAGTGTCAGGCTTGTGGGAATCACAATTGTGGTAGAGTATTTCTATTTCATTATATTAACATATTCTGTATGGCAGATAATGACCTGATACAAATTTTGGAACCCCTCTGACCTTCCTGGGCACCCCATGCTCCCATAATTAGACAATCAAACTCAAATCAAGGCAAACAGCCTAATAGATAGATTAAATATATATTAGGGCACCAATTTTCCTGCCAAAGGATTTGTACCTGTATTCATCCAGTCTGGAGATTTACCCCCCCCCCCCATTACAGCACATCCAGGTGACACCACTAACAGTTAAACTGGTACTAACCCAAAAGCAAACATTTATTACATAGCAGTTTACCAATTCTTAGATGTGGTGGCTGCACTTGTTTTCTATTTCTCCTTTGTTTTCATCAGGTGATTCTGCAGTAAGTCTGTTGTTTTTTGAAAGAACAAACTGTCCCCAAAATGTAACAGTTAGAGTGTTGAGACAAACCATTTACCACTGCCAGGGGTGCTTATCATGGCCAACTTTTATTCATTCATGTAAAACCTACTCCAAAAGACAAAAAGAATGTTGCTTTAGGAGTCGGAGTACACCTACCACCCCCCCCCCCCCCCATACTGACAATGCTGCTGTCCAGAGTTGCCCCCTGTGATCCTTCATCCAGACTAAAGGCACTCTAATACAAGAGGACAGATCATCATGTGAAAACAGAGAAGAAAAGCCTAAAAAAAGAAAAATACGAAAGCCACTACATCTAAGGATTGGTAAGCTGCAATAGGTTACATTTTTGGTTTTCAATACAGCTTTACAGAATTCAGTAGTGTGTACACCCTCTACCCCCAGCCTGCTGATTGGACAGTTAAAGAGCACAAGCAGACTCATGAGGTCATCCCTCTGCTCACACTGCTCTCTCCTGTTATCAGCATATTCCTTGTTAGTACACTTGTATGTAGCATACCTTGGCTTTAAGCCTTGCCCCTTCCCTCTATAGGTAGGTACAGTAGTTTCATTTAAAAAAAAATACATTTAATGATATAGTAATGAATACAGAACTACATCAATTTTAGTCTTTTATATCTGCCTGGAGTTTACCTTTAAATACAGAGTCCCTGCTGCCCCCTACTGGCTTTCATCATGCTACCAACATTTATTAGGAGATAAAATCTCAAAATTCCTATTTCATCCTGTCTAAAAACCCTTTAGAAAAAAAAAATGAAATTCCAAGTGCATATTGCCTGATAATACTTACGTTAATTAGCAGCTTGCATCCTGAGTGGAGTTTTCCTTTAAGCGCTCCTTTTGGAACCGTATCATGTTAGCACCGTCAGTGTTTTGGGAGATAAGAGAATGGCAGGGTTGCATATCAGTTGCTGTTATTAATTTAGAGCTTCAGTAATTCCTCGGGAGACCCCTGACATGCTGCTTTTCAGAAGCGGAGGTACTCACTTGGGAGTGCGGCTTTATAAATTTGTGCTTAGAAAACCTACCTAAGTCTCCATCAGCGAAATCAGCACTACACATGACTAATGCACAGAACGGAGCACCAACTTCTCTGCCGTTCTACAGGGAATCCGCCCCTTAAATTACAGGAACCTTGATGCAAATAAGAAGCAGAAGCTCATTCATTAAGTCAATTTATTATTCCATCTAATGCTGTGAGGACAGGTTTGCTGTTTTTCACGGGTACAAATATTTGTCATTTTTTTTTTTTTTTTTTTAGTTTTACGCTTAATTAGGTGCTGTAAAAATAGACTGCACTCGGTGGAGCTGAGCATTTTATGGAGTGTGACTGCTTTCAGCTTTATAGTTCAATAGCAACTGACAGTATCCTTGAGGTACATTTCCCAAAATGGCTTAGCTTTATTTAGGAAACGGTTTCACAAAATCACTTTTCTTTTTTAATTAAAGTGGACCTGAACTCAAAGCTTTCTTATGATTTCTGTAGGGAATGAGCGGAGGCCTCCTTACATTAGGAAGGATAGGTCCACAAACTTTTTGATGAATGTCTACGGATACCCAATCGTGTCTACTGACCCACATGGAAAAAAATATATTTGAAATATATCTTTAAAATATTCTTCCCAAATATATTGATATATATGTGAAATACTACAATTTAGGCCATATTCAATATATTTCAAAATATATTTCAATAAATAAATAAATATATATATATATTAATTATTATTATACACGATTTATATAGCACCAACAGTTTGCTCAGCGCTTTACAATATAACGGGAGACAATACAGTTCAATACAAGAAGGTTAGGAGGGCCCTGCTCCTTGGAGCTTACAATCTACGAAGTGCAGGAACCATTTTTTGAGTCACAGCTATTAGAACAGGCCATAGACAAATATATACTGCATGTTGAAATGCTTTTTTATTACAAAATATATGAAAAATATTTTTAAAAATACATTTCAAATATACTGTATGTCTTAAAAATGCAAATCTACATTTTTGGAATGCATTTACAAATATATGTAAAACTATATGTTAAAATGACATTTTTATATGTTAAAAAAAATCCGAAGAATATATTTAAAAAATATATATTTTTAAAAATATATATTTTTTTAAATATATTCTTCATATTTTTTATACAAGTAATTTTAACATATATTTTTACATATATTTGTAAATGCATTCCAAAAATGTAGATTTGTATTTTTAAAGACATATCAAGTCTGCTTCATTGCTAGTAAATAGATGCTGTAATCAGGACACAAGCTCATCTACACAAGTGTTCAGGACAGCACTCCTTTCACTTTTGTGTGTGTTTTATTTCTCACTAGGATAGAGGGTGTGGGTTCTCGGGCCTGCCCTGAAGTCTAGGGGGGAGGATGCCATTAGGTTCCTTCCTTCCCTGTCCTGGGGGGGTCTCTCTTCGGGAGAGCCCCCTGACCTAGTACTTGGTGGTCGGCTTCGACTAGCCACAAGGAAAGGGGTCCGCCAGGCCTTGTGGCTAGGTGGAGCATGTGGAAACATTTGTCACTATCAGGAGCCTCGCACCCTGGGGGATCAGGGTAGAGGTCCTACCTCTTCGGAGGGTGGACTAAAGCCCACCCCTAAGTGCACTTTTTTGTGTTTGTGTTTTGCACTTGCACGTTTTTTGTCCACTTATAGGTTTTCTTTTTTTTTTCCGCACCGCCGCGGACTTAAGAACAAAAAAAAAAAAAAAAACGTTCAGCACAACAGTGCTCTCGGATCTGATGATGGTGGTGAAGGAAGAATGTGACTTATTTTGGCACACAGACAAAATATGTAGGCTGTTCTACAGGTTTTCTTGGATGCATTACATTAAAGTGGAACTATACTCACCTTCAATCCAGCACTGAAGTGTCCCGGAGCTCCTCACCTTCTGGGTATCAATCACCATCTCCTTTGCATGCATGGGAGTTCAGTCGGCTTAGCATTGCCGAATTCGTACCATGAGCTGCGCATGCACAGATCACTGTATTGGGGCACACAGGGAGGTAAGTAATGTTAACACAGAAGAGACATAGCATGTGTCTTCTGCATTAAAAATCCTGCTTGCTCACCCATTTTAAATATTAGCCATAAAGTTCCACAAAGTGAAGCCTTCAGTACTACTTTAATTCTGTCTAAGGAATACCATAAAAAAAATATTTATGTAGTCTTGATTTCCTCTTGAAAATAGCAGTGCACATCCAGGCATGAGAGTGTACCTAGGTACTCTTGTACTTACAGCCTCATAGCTGGTTGCTAGGGGTTGCTTGAGCTGTGGTGGACTGACCTCGTATTTCATGATGCCTAAATAGTTGTGGGGTCACCGTCCCTTGGCAGAACAAACTGCATGCACCCAATGATCTTTTTAGTTGTCTGTTAAGGTTGTTGCATTCTGACCACCATTGTAAGGGGGGCATTTTGCCCACTGACCACCAATGAGTTGGTTTAGAGATCTGAAATTATTTCAAGGGTTCCTCTGGGATTAATGGTTTAAAAAGCCTGACCTAGGCTTTGATGGGGCATTTTGCAGTTTAATTACAACATTTCTGCTTGAGACTCCTCAAAGGTAACAGCATAGTGGAAGCTTAACCACTTCCCCGCCGCCCTATAGCAGAAATACTGCTACAGGGTGGCAGGGCTGTACAAAATCACGTATATGTGATTTGCATTTCTGAGTAGGGGGCATGTACGCTGCCCTACCCGCGCCTACAAATCTCCCGGCTGGAGGGGGTATGTACGCTGCCCTACACGCGCCTACA